AAAAATGTCCGATAGTCGAAAACAAATAATCCATGAGGAGATAGACAAACTGCTGGAAGCGGGAGTTATTAATAGAAGTAACTCACCGTATTGTAGTCCAGTAGTCCTCATCCCTAAGAAAAATGGAAAATTACGTTTTTGTGTAGACTATCGGGAAATTAATAAATTGATAATTCCTGAAGCGCCTCACCTTCCTCCTATCCAGGAGACGGTTAGGGAAATGGGTAATGCAAAAATTTTTACTAGTTTAGATTTGAGAAATGGGTTTTGGCAAGTGAAGCTTAGTCCAGATTCCCGTAAATACACCGCATTTGGAGGACCTGACGGATCTGTGTATGAATTTCGTGTTCTCGCTTTTGGTCTCAAGAATGGGCCGGCCGCTTTTCAAAATTTAACTTCTTCAGTACTCGCAGGGTATGTAGATAGTTTTTGTAAAGTCTATTTAGACGATATTATAATATATTCCAATTCAATAGAGGAGCATTTAGACCATTTGAAAATGGTGTTTGAGCGATTACGTGCTCATGGATTATGGGTATCTCCATCTAAATGTAAATTCGCATCGCAGAAATTGGAGTATTTGGGTAGAGTAGTTACTTCAGAAGGTAATTTTCCTCAAGAAATTCATATTTTGAATGTTAAAAATTTTTCTGTTCCTAAATCGCTTAAACAATTGCGCGGATTTTTGGGTACAGCCGGATGGCTGCGGGAATTTATTCCCCATTTTGCTGATGTGGCTTCGCCACTTACAGATTTAATTGATAAATCTAAGCGGTTTAAGTGGACTAAGGAGGCGGATATAGCATTCAATAAAATCAAGGAATTAGTTTCTCAACCCTTGTATCTGGCTCGGCCTGATTTATCTAGGCCATTTTGTCTTCAAACTGACGCTAGTCATATTGGTATGGGCGCGGTATTGTTTCAAGAAAAAGAGAAAGGTGAGAGAGATATTATTGCTTATTCGAGTGCAAAATTGTCTGAGACTGAAAAGAAATACCATATTAATGAAATAGAGTGTCTTGCGATAGTATGGGCTATAAAAAAATATAGGCATTTTCTGCAAGATGGGCCATTTAAATTATATACCGATAATTCAGCACTTCTCTGGCTGGATAGGATGAAGGACGAGAAAGCTAAGCTCACTCGTTGGTCCCTCTTATTACAGGAATACGATTTCCAAGTCGAGCACATTCCCGGTAAACTGAATCAACTTCCAGATTTTTTATCTAGGAATCCTGGTATCGAAACATCCGGTATGGATGGTAAAGTAGAGTTGGAAAGAATGTTATTTCCTCATCAGGAAGATAGAGAAATCAGGGTAGATTCTAAGCTGGAAGCTGTGTTGAATCAAATAAGAGTGGAGGTGGCAAATTTTGACTTTGTCGAATTAGTACAGCCAGAATGCGTGTTAAATCAAACTGTTACATTTTTCGAGGAAATGGTGGAAGCGCAACGTGTGAGTAATGGGGTGAAAAACTTTGCGCGTAGAGTCAGGGCGGATCCTGAGAGATACAGTGACTTTTCAATAGATAATGCAGGTTTGTTGTTTTATAGTCCACCCGATGGAAAATTAAAGAGATTAATTATTCCTAAGGACGCATGGGAAAAAGTTATAAAAAAATTCCATGAGGGTACAGGTCATCCGGGTGCGGATGAGACTATTAGACAAATTACCCTTCATTATTTTTGGCCAGAAGTAGAAAAACAGGTTAGGAAATTTGTAGGGGAATGCTTAACATGTCTCACTACTAAAAGAGCACTTCCTCAACCTTTAGCTGGACAACGTCCAAATGAACCGGAACGTCCATGGCAAGTTGTGTCCATCGACGTAATGGGTCCATATCCTCCGGGGAAATCCGGAAATAAATATTTGATAGTAGCCACTGATTGTTTTTCAAAATGGATTGAAGCTCAGGCCGTATCAAAGGCTGATGCCACAACAGTCATAGAGTTTTTCAAAAATTTTGTGTGTTTAAGATGGGGATTTCCGGAAATCATTATTTCCGATAATGGAAGTCAATTTCGCGGAATTAGATGGGAAAGGTTTTGTGGTGATAATAATATTACAATCAAATTTTCCCCAGTATATCATCAGAGAGCAAATCCGGTGGAGCGTAGAGCCCAAGAAATAAAAAAATGGCTTAGGGCTAAATTAATAATGAAGAATCAAAATTTGTGGGAAAATTATATCCCTGAAATGCTTTTTGATTTGAGGACTCGGAAAAATTTGTCGAGTGATTCTACCCCGTCGATGCTGTTGTTAGGCTATGATCTGCCGCGGCCTGGAGAGTGGGCTACTCCAATACAAAAATCCCGTCCCCCTAATAATAATCCTCAAGATAGAAATGTTAGGATTAATATCGCGAATGATAAACGTATAGCATATCAACGTCGATTATTTCCAAATAAGGAAAATTTTCCTAAAGAATTTGAACCAAATCAGTGGGTGATGGTTAGAAATGCGGAGAATGTCCGTAAGAATTTTGGTCAGACTTGGGTAGGTCCCTGTAGGGTGGTAGAACGAATAGGTGTAACTACTTATATAATTAATAAGGAAGGATTGGATACTGTAGTCCACTTGGATGACATCCGGACTGCCCCTGTCCCTAGAGTCGGACAAGAGCAGCTTGATCCGAGATTGGTGCACGAGTAAGACACTGTACTTTGGTGACTGTTACTAACACTAATGTGTAGTGAATACCCCTGATAAACGCTCTGTGAGTGTAAGTTAGTGAATACCCCTAATAAACAATAAAAATTTGGTTCACTAACTTTAAAAAAAAAAAAGAGAAACAATTATATAATAGACACTTGACAGTGAAAATTATTGATAGACACTTTTGAAAGTGATAAGAACTTTTGACAAGACTTTTATAGTTTTAAGGATTTTTCTTGTTATTGTTCTTGTTTTAATTTGCTTTTGTATTTTTCAGCTTTTGTAAATGATGTATGCAGAAAGAAAGAAGGAAATAAAAATAAAAAAAAAAATAGATCTTTTCAGATCTAGGTCACCCATGGCGGAGAATATTCTTAATAGAGCTGTAGAAATAGAAATATTACTTCTTAAGCAGGGGGGTTTTTAGAGCTAGCGACCTTCTTAAGCAGGGGGGTGTCACCAAACATGGCTTTCTACTCTAAAAGTTATTAAAAGTATCAATAATTATCATTTCATTCATTAGAAATGAAATAAACTAGAAATGGTTAAGTTTTGTAGTCATTTAAACTTTAAACCAATCGGCTTCTAGATTTCATGAAAAACGCTGTAGGCGGAGCCTAAGAGAGTGCGAGAATTTTAGTTCCAACTGCGCGATTTGGAATTAGCCAATCAGCGCGCAGAGACTGCGAGAACGCGGTAGGCGGAGCCTAAGAGCTTTCCGCGTATAGGGATAAATATTGGCCAAATTGCCGCTAGCGACAGTTCTGATTCAAGTTCGCTACCTATAAGGTTAGAGTTCTGATTCGATTTCGTTACCTATAAGGTTAGAGTTCCGATTCGACTCCGCTACCTGGTTGGTAGTGTTTTTAATAGTTCTGAGTGAACTACTAGTATTTGAGTTGCGACTCCACATCACTCCCATAGGGTTGGATGTGTACTACTATAAGAAGAAGCCGATTGATATTTGAGAAGATTAATCCAAAAGGGATATTACATAGAAGAAGCCGATTGATATTTGAGAAGATTATCCAAAGGGAATATTACATAGAAGAAGCCGATTGATATTTGAGAAGATTATTCCAAAGGGATAGAAATATTAGAAGAAAGCCGTTTGGTATTTCCGACGATTATTCCACCAGGGTGGATGAAGAATAGAGGTCTACAGCCAGCTCTTGAATACGAACCAAAGTGGGTGACCAACCAAATTGGTTGGATTAGAATTCGTTGCTCCAATGAGAAAACTGTCCTAATGGGACAAAATCAAAGGTCATCATTCCCACCTACCGAATAAAGATCCTAATCCTCCCTTATCTTATTGCAAGAAAGAAGAGCTCCAGTACGGTACCAAGGCTCCAAGACTAAGGACCTTTGTGGTTGAGCCTGGCCACATCCCTTGGTACCTCGTCGTAGCAACCACTGGCATTCCGGAATGCCTTCTGGTGCCGTCTAACTCTAGGGATACGTTAGTAGCCAGGAGGTGAAAGCATTGCACTTCCCTAGGGTGACGTTAAACGCCTTTAGTGTACCTGCGGGACACACGGTTCGCGTCGGGAATTAGGGCAGGATAATTTTAGGGACTTAGAGGCCTTCAGCCTTGATAGGACTAGGCGATAGGGAACCCCCAGTACCCGGTGCAACGCCGACGTGGTGGTCTGGGCGGGTTTGACGGAAACTTAGCAGCTCTAGTATTAAGATTAGCTATCTTCTAGGAAGTTAGGAACCTTAGGCAGGGGTAGTATTGTGGGAATTGTCCTGTGAGGTTAGGATTTACCTCACAGTCAGCTGTAAGGTGGGCTATAGTATCCTTTCCTTGTTTGTAGGAAATTAGGGCCTATTCAGAACTATAAACTTTCGGGAGGATCGGACTGCTGTCAATTATTCCCTGAGTTTGGCTTTGTAGTCGTGGCAAAAATACCTAGCATTATTTTCGAGATAAAATAATGAACCCTGACAGCCCCAACAGTCCGATTTTATCTCAGTATTTCACTTTATAACCATTTTGAAAACAAGTTCGGTAATGAACATTTTAATAATTTTAAATACTTCAAATCTCTCTTGCACAGGTTTTTGGTAAGACATGCATTTTATTCTGTAGAAGAATTTTTTCAGTGTTAAACGGTTTTATCTATTATACATGGATTTTAATTCGGTGTTCAATGTAATCTAAATGTAACAATAACAGTTTTATATTTTTTAAGTCTTTATTATAGTTATAGAACCATTTCTCATGACTAGTCTAATAAAGTAGGTACCTGTATGAACATATATTTGTTTAACATGTTTTGTACCACTTTTAAAGATGCTTAAATATATTTCTATTCTATTCTATTCTATTCTTTGGCAGCTGGACGAGAATCTCGACAGAACACATTTTGCGGGCCGCCCCCTCGCCTCCCGCCCGTCGTTACGGCCACGCCATGGTCGCCTTCGACCGGCACTTGTTCGTGTTCGGCGGGGCGGCCGACTCGACCGTCTCCAACGACCTGCACTGCTTCGACTTGGACGCGCGTCGATGGGCGGTCGTGCCGCCCGACCCCGAGTCCGTCGTGCCCTCGGGGCGGCTCTTCCACGCCGCCGCTGTCGCCGGGGATGCGATGTTCGTGTTCGGCGGGACGGTGGATAACAACGTGCGCAGCGGCGAGATGTACAGGTGGGTACGGAATTATTGCAGTGTTTCGCAGTAAGATTGTCTCTGGTGAGTTTGAATTACATAATTATACAGAGTGGGCCATTGTAAACGAAACACCGGCTCTGTGGGTCGACAAAACCGGATTATGAAAAAAATTTGAAACACGTCAATTACATTTTCGAGGGGGACATCGTTCTAAAATATTTTCAACCCTGCGGCGTTGCCGCTTCTAACGAAAAGAAGCAACAACTTTGTTATTTCATATTGAACACCTTGTATTTCATTGCATTTTTAGATTCTCCCCGAAGAGCTGATTTCAGCAATGCATCACACTTGGGGTCTAGCTGGAATGATTTCAGGGATACAGGGTGTTCAAAATCGAGATTTTTCAACTTTAGGATTTTTTTGTGTCGAAACTATTCATTATTGGTCAAAACGGCTTTTATGTCACTATCTCAACTTTTGATTCACTATCTACTGACATTTAATTGTAACCGATACAGGGTGATCAGAAGTCTGAATCTTGAACCACCCTGTATTTGTTTCAAATAAATGTCAGTAGATATAAAATCACAAGTTGAGATAGGGACATGAAAGCCGTTTTGACCAATAATGAGTAGTTTCGACACAAAAACATCCTAAAGTTGAAAAATCTCGATTTTGAACACCCTATATCCTTGAAATCATTCCAGCTAGACACCAAGTGTGATGCATTGATGAAATCAGCTCTTCGGGGAGAATCTAAAAATGCAATGAAATACAAGGTGTTCCATTTGAAATAACAAAGTTGTTGCTTCTTTTCGTTAGAAGCGGCAACGCCGCAGGGCTGAAAATATTTTAGAATGATGTCCCCCTCGAAAATGTAGTTGACGTGTTTCAGATTTTTTTCATAATCCGGTTTTGCCGACCTACAGAGCCGCTGTTTCGTTTTCAATGGCCCACTCGGTATAGACTGACTGTCAAAATTCAATTCAAAATATACCTCAAATTGAAATAGGAAGTGATTATTATTTATGCCGACGATACGGTTCTTTTATATGAAAATCAAGATCCTATTATTTCATAAAATATAAATGATGAAGACTATGTGAATAAAAACCTTTCATCAATGAATACTAATTGAACTACATGCAGTGTGTGCGATTTCACTCTTCTAATTTGGAACTCGTCGAACGATTTACAAAAGCAAACATTTCATAATATAGTACTCAACGAGCTCTATTCGAGAATGTAAACAAATTTCAAATATCCAGGTTTTCAAGGCCTATTTCTGTTTGTTGAAGGGGTCAAAATTTCAGAAACGACTATTAGTCAGTTTTTCATCAGAACTGTGGAAAGCATATTCGATTCAGGCATAGCTGAAATAACCCCATACGAAATTTTAACGCAAAATCTCATATACGGTGTTAGTTATTCAGTTGGAAATTTTGATATTTTTGATTTTTCCATTCATCTTGTATCAACATCTAAGGAGTTGATATAACCGGTGAAGTAGTCATTCAATGTGGGAATACATCGAGTACTTAGATACGAGGTTTCATCGTTGTAACTTCTACAGGAAGATCTCTCTTGGTCAACCAAAAATTGATAATATTGAAGTTGACATTTATTTTTCATGATCCATATCTTTTTTCCTGGAAATATAACTAATGGTAACTAATTGGAAGAAATATTCTCTATACATAACAATTTCCATTGTCATCTCAAATTTCCCTTTCATTTCGCCAAAATCGGTATATATTATCATGATCACATTAGGTATTAGTAAATCTCCTTGCAGTCTTTGGAGAGTGTTTGTCTGTCATTCTATTCATGTTATATTCGACAGTTCTTTATCAATCGAGACGATTTTCAAAGTAACTGTGTGGTGAAGTGTGTGAAAAATGGTTTTCTTGAGTTTTCAAAATGGCGAACCTCAACATTGATTTTATTAATGTTTGGTTGAACTAGAAAGATCTTCCTGTAGAAGTTACAATGTTGAAACGAGTATTCGATGTGAGATTCGATGTGTTTCTCCATTGAATGACTACTTCACCAGTTATATCGATTTTTTAGATTTTGATACATGGTGAATCGAAAAATCAAAAATATCAAAATTTTCCACACCCTATATGAGATTTTGCGATTGAATTTCGTTTGGAGGTATTTAAGGTATGCCTGAATCGAATGGGCTAGTCACTGTTTCTACAAAAAATTGCCTAATAGTCGTTTTCGAAATTTTGACCCATGCAACAATCACAAGTAGGCCTTGGAAATCTGAATATTTCAGATCTGTCCACATTTTCAAATAGAGCTCTATAAATCTCGATCTCAAAGTAAAAAATGACTTAGAAACAAATTAAAAAGACCAGTGTCTTGATCTTGATTTGGTTCAATAACTCCTATTATTGGAGCCCTGTGGAGATGTCCCAAACTCGATAAAAAAGTAAATAATATCCTTCATTCTCATATATTCAGTCTCATCAACTATTTCATGAATGTTTGGGAGACCGTTCAATAAATGTTGCTAAATTATTTGTGATTTCCTCTCCTTGTTTCTATAAAATACAAATATGAGTATTATTTCAATATACTTGTACTAAAGACAAATAAGATGATCTGCCCCAAAGTGTAACTACGTTTAAAATTTTCTCTCTCTGAGATCCTAAAAGGAAAATTCATTCGCCTGTCAGTGATACTGAAATATGTTTGAGGTTGAAAAATATAGATATATATATATATAAAGAATTGTCTTGATATCTTATTGTGGGATTCTTTGCCAATGGAAGTATTTCCAAAAACTTATTATAACCTCCAAAAGGTCGAAAAATTCCAACACACCTCCTTTCTCTGTGTTCCCTAGGTACGCGCAATGTACAGTCGTATTCAATAGAAAAGCGTACAAGTATTAAAAAGAGATGATTTCGGGATCCCAGTTCTAGTTGTGTAAAACTGACTCAGCCAATAATGCTTTGGGTTTTTGAGAACCTATTGTTTCGTCTTATCGGGAAGACTCATGTTCATATATATCATTGTAATCTTAAGTTTCATTTTGATTTTATTATTCAACTCATTTTACCAGAAGAGTGATCAATAATTCTTGATTGCCCTCGTATATCTAGTTATTTACCTATTTTTGGAAAGTCACATGACGACCTTGTGCGGGCCGTTTTTTTGTGCCTTTCTGCATGTTCGGATCTGAAATGGATTTAAAAACCAGTATTCGATAAAATTTGTACCGCAACGCATCAGTATATATTTTTCGTTTTACTCGCTACCGCGATCAACATTTCAAATCCTATTTATTCAAAATCCTTTGGTGTGAATTCATGTGATTGTGCCTCAACCACCTTCGGCCGAAATTTGGGAAATGGCAACCAGAGGATCCTTGTGAAAAGCCAATTCCCACGACACCAGAAAAGCAATCCAGAGTATCGCCATTCATCAAAATTTTGGGTGAGTCGTTATTGTGACCTTTCCAAAAAATCGTGGACACGATCTGATCACTCTCACTCAAAGCACTTTTCTGGTATTTTGATCTGTTACGCAACTCCTATGACAACTTCACTGTCAACATTTGGTGAACAATCATTCCCGATAGCATGTTTTATGCAGAATAGGATGACGTTAATTTCTCTCTGTAATATACTTGTATGCTTTTTTTTTGAATGCGACTGTACCAGGTACATTATAGGAATTTCTTTTCGTGCGCTCCAAGATACAAAAAAATATACATAAGTATCCAAAAAAATATACATAAGTATCCAAATTTCTCTTCCTCAAACATTTTTCAAAACAATGTGTCTCTAACGACCAATAGTTATTTGTTCTACTAGGCAGCAAAGTAGTAGATTGAAAATGGAAAACGTCCGGGCGCATTTGATAACTTCCGGGCGTAAATGGAATTTTCAACACCTATTATAAATTACTATTATTTGATTTTTTTTTTCAAATTCATCGAAATCTTTCGAAAGTTCCATCCTTGCATACACTTGTACAAGTTTTTATTGGTATTCATTGGATTCTATCTTCCTTTCAGATTCCAATTCTCTAGTTATCCGAAATGCACGCTTCACGATGATTTTGGAAAACTACTTGAGTCAAGACAGTTCTGCGACGTTCAATTCATGGTAGGCTCAGAAGGAGAAAAAATCACAGCTCACTTGGCTCTGGTCGCTGCAAGGTCTGCTCACCTCAGAAGTAAAATACGACAAGCCAAAGAAAACAGAGACAAACATTTGGAAAGATTATTCGGTTAGTTACTCTCTACTCACAGCCGTCTTCAACTATCAAGCCGTGCTGAGATACTGGCAACGTCGCACGAACGGAAACCGTCGGTCCCATTCGAGCCTAGCAATACAATGGTTTTTATATGAGCTCAAGCTTTGAATGTTTGGTTTTCTCGGATTATTTTGTCGAATAGGTAAAAAATACAGGAGAGTGAACTTACAGAGTGAAGAACGAGGAATAATGTGGTTGAATAATTCCCTTGGTCATGAACTGAACCCGTAATTTTGAACATTTTGATAAAATAAAACTTCATAGTTGTGGATGAGGTCTGATTTTTCAAACTGTTCTATTATATTACTTTGAATATCTAAATATTTCTGACGTCTTTAATTTGGATCAGTTCTTGATGGTTTGGCTGGTTTTGAAAAATATTTTGGTGAATTTGGAAAAATTGAAGGAACTGCTGTTTTGACTAACTTTGGTGCTCGTAACAAATTTTTTCCAATTGATCCATCTGGCAGAGGGAATGAATCATACCTGATGATATCTTTTTCAATAAAATGAATTGCACATACTGTAGAACGTTGAGATGGTGTCCAGTTTTTTCTAGGTATTGCTGTTATCCACTTACTTCGCAATTCTTCCCCTTTTGGGAATAAAAAAACTGAGACATGATCCTTTCCCAGCTTTTTTTCAGAGCTGTAATATGACTTACATCCTGGCACACAACAATGAGAAGGCATATTTATAAGGAATAATGAATAACTTACTTATTTCCAGGAGTAAATTGAAAAAAACAACACAAATTCCCTTGCAAATACACCAGCACTAGTACACTTCACTATAACACCAATTTGACACAATTTTGAATGCACTTGCCACACACTTTCAGTCTCGAGTCGATTCCTAGATTGTTGCTAATACTTTTAAAATTATTTGATCTCAATATTACACCAATTAATAATTGAAAACTTTAAAAAAACCTTCCATAAACTCCTTGTTTACTTCCTACACAATACACTTTGAATGGCCGACAGGTCCAAGTTCGGTCGTTCGGACAATGTTGCCAGACTGCTTCTTCACGGCTTGATAGTTGAAGACGGCTGTGCTCTACTTAATGAAATCGTGATGTTATACAATTTCGAACTCAATATGTATAAGTTGATGTTTGTAGGTACGGTAAATGTTCCATTCACCGACATTCCTCTGTTGGAAGTTAAACTTCCTGACGCTGAGCCAGAAGCTTTCGAAATGGTCCTCAACTATATTTATACGGATTGCATTGACCCCACTAAGAAAATACAAAATGAAGATGAGGATCCTTTGTCCAACAGGTAATTTTACAGCTCAAGAGGGTATTTTGAGTAGCAACCACACCTAACCAACTTTTATAATTTATATTCAAAAATTTCGTCTATCTCAATCAATAAACCCTTGAAAAGTTGTTTGTCACACTCCTGTACAGTCTTTGCAAAGTCGCTTGAGACACCGAACAACATTTTAACCGGCCACGTGTAGGCAAATCTTTGACAATCTGCCGCCAACAGCGGTGGAGAATGATATTTCTTCATACTATTTTGTTTCGGTGCTGTGAATAAAAGCTGTTTTCAAAATATTTCTATAATTTCCAAACGGAAACGGTTGAGATTATCTATATCTCCGTTTTGGAGCATGAGAGGTTAAAGGAATCGGATCGTAAAAGATCTGCAGTAAACGGAATATTGGTAAGTTTTCAGACCACCGGCCCATGAAGTCGTATTACCAGGGCCCTTTACTTTTTTTAGTGAAAGTTTGCCTATAGGGAATCTCAAATAGAGGTACTTCAACAAAATTTATAGTATTCTAAAAGTATTTTCAATGAAACAGAATATACGGTTCCAACATTTCACTACACACATCCTCATCACTTTCCTACATTTTACACTTGGGATATAATAATCACAATAGGCAATAATGAAACTACACCGATTAGTTATGCTAACTCTTAGTAGGAGAGCCGGCTGCAGATTTCTACCGTCATTTGATAACGAAATGATATATGTCCCAAAGGAAAGTAAAAACATTGTAGTTCACGACATCTGTGCCAATCACTATCTTGAGAAAAATGATTAAAAAATTGCACTTTCCTGTGCGGAAATTTGCACTCGATTTCGCGATTCGATAACAAGATGAGAATTTGGAAATAATGTTCCTAATATTTTAATTGTGAATCAGAATAAGGAAACACTCGAATATAATAATACATTTTCTGAAATTCAAATAAAACCAGTAGTTCCTAAAAACCTTGCTTCAATGCACTACCGTATACGACCGTAACGCACTGCACCAAAAAGTCTGAACACACAGCAAGCCTAGTAAAAAAAAACTACGAGCAATCAACATTTAGTATGATTGGAGGTAACCAATAATATGCGCTTGTCCAGTCTACGTTCACTGCATACCAGGAAAGCTCCATAGAACATATTTCATATATTTCTATTCTGATTTAAAGCAAATTGATGAATTCTCATATCACAATGTATCCCAACTGACTTCGAAAATACTGCCCCTTGAAGGATCGTCTTGCGCATGATGGACGTCTACCGGCTGGCGGTCGAATTCAAGATGGCGCGTTTAGAGCACCTCTGCGTGCAATACCTGAACGCCACCATTTGCTTGAAGAACGTGCTGGTCGCTCTGCACAACGCCAACCATCTGCGGCTGGACTTTATCAAGGAGCACTGCTTGCGCTTCATCGTCAAAGAAGGGAACTACAACCAGATCGTCATGAGTGCGGAGTTCGAGGCGCTCGATAGGAGTTTGATGGTGGAGATTATCAGGAGGAAGCAGATGCCGCAGTATAAGGTGAGTTCTCCTTTATGTGGAGATGAAGCAATTCGGTAGTGATCGGCGAGTGAACTGATAATGAATAATTCAATTACTCGTTAGGAACCTGAATTTTTGCAACCCTTATAACTTTTTTTTGGAAATAATGTGTCTATGCGTTGAAAAGGAATATTCTCAAATAAATTATGAAGATGAATATTATTTTGTACTGATACAGGGGTTGAGGGTTAGCCAGTAGGAAAAATTCAAGAAGTCCCAAGATCAAGATTTATTTCGTCGGCAGCAAGATATGCAGATACGAACGTGATGTTGAGTGTGAGAAACTAAAATTTTACATATATTAGGAAAGGGTGTCAACTTTCCGGCATGTCATATAATAAGTTTTTTCTACAAACGCTTAACAAAGTAGCCTTTGACGTTTTCAAATTCCAGCACAAAGTTGACGTTTTCCCAGAAATGTCATTCTTTGACAGCATTTGCGCTCGTGAGCGGAAATATTGAAAAAACGCTCGCTTATCTCTGTAGCCTATACTTATCTATTCTTGAAAACCCCCAATTCTTTCATGATGGAAAATAGTGACAGTGAATCATCAAACACACCTCCTTCCTGATGATATAGCAGAAAGCGCAAGAGTTTTCAGGGTTGTCATTTCCAAAAGCTGCGTTAGTCGAAAAAATCTTGTGTGTATTTCGAGCACAAAGTGTTATTGCCGCTCTCCAAAGATTACCGCGCTCCGCTCCGCATCGCGCGGTAGCTTTCTTTGTCGAGCGGCAATCTATCACTTTGCGCTCTAAATACACAAATAGCTATTATAAATAATCAATTTCCACTCAGAAGCACGTGTTGATTTTCAGTGATATAAGTAATTTTCAGAACAATTATTATCATTTCAACACTTACCTAAAAGTGACCAAACACCAGTCTAAAATATATATTTAGCAAATATATATGTAATTGTTGGCAAACTTGTTAATGGATCATCAATTCATTTCCTCCCAAATCAATCCATTCTATCAGTTCTGATACCTATGCCCAAAAGGCTTAAAATAATCGTGAGTGTAAAAAGTTATACTTGATAAGGAGCGCGGCAAAAAACGCGCGACGATAAATGCATTGTGGGTTGCCTGACCTCTAGTAGCTATTTTGAAAGACATGAAATTATTTATATATGTAGGAATCAGGCAGCAAAACATATGCAACCATTAACATGAGCTGAAGAAAGGACATGAGACATGATTGACACATGACTCCAGGTATCTTCATAATACATATATACGAGGTAGAAAAAAGTGAAAAAACTTGGTCACTCATAATAATTATTATTAGACTACACATGATATCCATCTTTAATATTTCATATACAGAGTACAGCGGTTTCAGCACAATTTCAATATTTATTGAAATAATATTCATATTTTTATTTTATAGAAACGAGAGAAACTCCCAAAAAATATGGAATAATGAATGAACCACCTCCTCGATTAACCTACAGAAATTATTGATTGATTGTTTGTCTATAGAAACATTTCTGTTCATAAGAGGGATACCTGATGAATATATATAGAAAAAGAAATTGTAATAACAGGTTAACTAATGAATTCCACTCAGTGGAAACAAATATGAAGATGACGATCGGAAAATACCCTAATACACGTATATCATCTTCAATAACAAATTTTGAAGAAATATTTGAAATAAATTTGATTTCAGTGATATTAATGTATAAATTCATTCAAGGTGTTTCACGGTGTATTTCATATCATTTTCAGATTCCTCCAGATCTGAATTCATGTTCTAGTAACAATGATTACAGGGATATATGGTGATTAGAACGAGATTTTTCAACATTGTTATTTTTTGTGTCAGAACTATTCATTATTGATTCAAACGGCTAGCATATCCCTATCTCAACTTTTGATTGACTATCGCATTTCATAACGAATAAAAGATTTTAGAGACATATCCGAAATGCATTGAATATAATAGGAAATTGGAATGCAAAACTCATCTCCGGTGGCTGGTCTTTGGTCTGGTTTCCTCTTTTGTGCTATTTTTTCGTTGGATTTAAATCTATAACACGTTGCTTCGTCGATCTAAAACATAGTTCATATTAAATATCGAATTTCAAATGAATTGGGAATTGAAATTATACGAGTCACTTAGAGTATGAAACTGAAATATATACGAGAAGAATTTTCAAAATCTGTTACTTGTCGTGTCTACATTGAGACATAAAGGCGATTTTCAGAACATGTTCTATGACATATCTTCTTCCATAACAAATATAAAATTTGAAAGAAACATTCAAAATGAATCGAATATAATTCGTAAATATGTCACCGGTCGCTGGTTTCTGGCCTGGTTTCCTCTTCTGTACAATTTTTCCGTTGATTAATAACACTTCGCTTCTTTGATCTGAAACATAGTTGGTATTATATTTCGAATTTAAATATATTGAGAATTGAAATCATGAAAGTTACATAAAATACGAAACTGAAAAATATACGAAAACTTTTTTCAAATTTCGTTGCTGAAACGCGACATATTCTATTACTCAAAAAATGACCGGAACAGATAGCCAACAATTTTCTCCTAAATGAAAAACACTGTATATACCTAACCCATCAGGCGCCTACCCCGGTTGCAACGAGGGTTTACCGATGCCAAGGGTTGATACTCTCCCCTCGTAAGGGTACCTGTCGTGTCTCCATTGAGACATAAAGGTGACTATCGAAAAATGTTCTATGATATATCGCCTTCCATAACAAATATAAAATTTTGAAGAAATATTCGAAATGAATTGAATATAATTCGTAAATAGGATTGAAAAACTCATCACCGGTCGCTGGTTTCTGGTCTGGTTTCCTCTTCTGTACAATTTTTCCGTCTATTAATAACACGTCGCTTCTTTGATCTAAAACAAAGTTGGTGTTGTTTCTCGAATTTGAAATATATTGGGAATGGAAATCATGAAAGTTACATGGAATAAGAAACTAAAAATATATGTAAACTTCCTCAAATTCCATTTCTGAATCGCGAAATATTCTTCTATTACTCAAAAAATGAACGAAACAGATAGACAACAATTTTCTCCTAAATTAAAAACACTGTATAAGCGTCTATCCCGGTTGCAATGAGGGTTTACCGATGCCAAGGGTTGATACTCCCCTCCCTTGTCAGGTTACCTGTCGTGTCTCCATTGAGACATGATGGTGATTATTGGAAAATATTCTATGATATATATAATGTGAACATGGATAACGGACAAAAAATTGTAATTTAGCAAAATAATAGTTTTTTTTCATAATGACACTAGTGTTAATTAGTGTCAATATGAATATCATAGAAATTCGTGTTCATATGTGTGGAATGTAAACGGAAAATCATTATATTGAATATAAATTTCTGAAATACATCTTGCTCACATTTTTAGTATCAGTATGATAGTCACTACATAGTGTCGATACGAAATGTCAAATTAACATAAGGACCAATATAGAATTATTCTTAATTTTTTTAAATGCTATCAGGATTCATTATCCTGATGACTAATTAGTTACGTCATCCTTCTAACGATTAATTCCCGAACAATAAAATTATATCAATGACAGAAGATGATATGGAAAAATAGTTTTACAGGGAATGACAAATTCTTGAAATTTTTCGAAAATATCTCATGAACCTCTATATTCAATACTCTCATAAAATAGGGTTTCCATTGAAAAAATACCGTGTTGACGTAGTTTCTCAGATACGAGTCATTCTAAACAGGGTGTCCGGAAAGGTCATGTCATAAATGATAGGGCTGATGTCAGTACTTCATGTGGAAAAAATGTCTACCGCACTTCGTTACGGACCTTGAAAGTTTGAATTGAAAAAAAATTTCATGTTTAACTTCTAAACGGTTGCCATGGTATACATACTAATGCCCATTTCGATATGTAAACGGGTGTTCAGTAATTATGTTTCATACAGGATGGGACGATTTCTTTCCGTTTAATGAAGGCATTTTTGACAGAGGTGTCAAATTTGACATTTTGCTTCCATCGTTTGATTCCAAATAGTATACTTTATTTTAATAGATATCTTGTACCATTCTAGAAAAAATCGCTTTTTAAAAAAATGCATCCCAGTAACTGTTTCAAAGGTAACAAAAAACTCTATTTCCTCAATAACATCATGGTAGTTGCAGTCATTGTCATAATTGACGTCAAATTATTTTGACAGTATTTAATACTTCAGTAACACCATGTATGAGTTTAGTAATGATGAGTAGGTGTATGTATGGAATTGCAGAAACTTTCTGGGTCAATAACTCTGTAACAAAGTAGTAATAATAATACTAATAATATAAGTTTATTGAAAAACGTTTACAAAATATACATTGGAATAAACTGATAGGTATTTTGAATAAACTGGTAAAAACATAACGAAGTTAACCTTGTAGTAAGGATAAAAAAAATGTACATAGGTCAATAAATATTTAACAATATCAAATTATCACAAGGGAAAAATTGTCTCATTGAGAAATGAGACAAGTATTTAATTCATAATATATAGTGTACTGAGCATTTCATTCAATACGCATAATTATTTATATCCATACATACTCATTCACAATTATTATCAAAATTTTTCTAATGATATTATTGAATGTTAATTAAAGAAATGAAATAATTTTTAGGGGAGTTTAATATCCAGTTTCTTATTTTTATTGTATAGGATTGTAGTGATTTTGTTTTTATAATATCATTTAAAATTTTATTATATAGGTAAGGAATTAAAAATTTATAAATTTCTACGTCCAAATGACTTGTTTGTTTTATATTTCAATGTTATGTTATTTTTATTTCTTATGTCATAGATATGTTTTTTGAACTGAATGTCCTTTTCATTTTTGAAAATATGAATCAGTAAATTGTATATATAGAGTTATTTATATTCATTTTCTTAGATTCCTTGTATAAAAGTTCAGTCGGAAACGAATAATCTTTTCCATAAATAATTTTTAAAATCC